TCCCTACGAAATGACCCCTGCCTAGAAGCATTTGGAAAAATCAAATTTGGAGGAATCAGCAATCAAGATGCCTAAGTTTACCACTCCCGCTGATTGCCGAGTGGAACACAAGGAGGGCTTTCACCATGAATACATAATCGGAAAATGGCTCAGAAAACCTATAGAGTCTTCAGCGGCCGCCGCCCAAAACTGGGCAGGATTGACTCAAACGAGGAACCCATGGGACTCCGTTTGCAAGACCTGAGCAAGGCTGTTTGACTCAAACGAGGAACCCACGGGACTCCGTTTGCAAGACCTGAGCAAGGCTGTTAACGAGAGGACGTTTTGGAGGTCCTTCATTCATAGGGTCAGCATAAGTCAGGAGTGATTTGACGGCACTTTAACACTCAACACACACACCAACCAACCCAGCTCCGGAGACCCCCCAATCACAACCATAGCCACGGACGCAAGGACAACATGGATACATGCGAAGTTGCAAATAATAATAATAATTAATAATAATTTAATTCAGTACACTTTACACAATCACTGGAATTGCTAAAATCAATAATGACGACACAATGACAAACATACAGTTCTATGTAACGCACGCAGTGAAAGGATTTGGGGGGGGAAAGCGTTCTATCAAAAATCTACTCTAAAGATGAGGCATCTGTACACGTTTACATATGCACATGAGAACAACTCGCCAGCAAGTATCAAGGTACAGAAGCGCAATATCCCTCCTGAAGTAGATATCCTTCTGTTGCGCTGCAAGACACACGTAGTATATAGTCCTTCATTTAAGCTCTCTTTCCATAGAGACTGTTGTTGCTTTGTGCCTTGTTAACACGGGAATTGGCGTTTCCTCTTTTTAAGATGGGTGCCAGGCCGCCTTTGCCCCTTCCACTGGCAACGTGTGCAGTTCAGTCAAAAACTGTTTTTCCGTTTGGATGACCCGTTAAAGAACCCTTTTCCTCTTAGCGGGGAGGAAGTCTGAAAAAGAAGAGAACAAAGTGATAAATAGCTATGCTGACTTCTACTTGCTTACTTTATAGAACCCTGCCTTTCTGGAGAGCAAGTCTGCTGTAGTGGTTAAAAGGTGCAGGACTCTAATGTGGAGAACCGGATTCGAGTCCTTACTTCTCCACATGAAGCCAGCCGGGTGACCTTGGGTCAGTCACAGCTCTCTCACGAACGCTCTCAGCCCCACCTACCTCACAGGGTGTCTGTTGTGGGGAGGGAAAGGGAAGGGAAAGGAGATTGTAATCCGCTCGGAGACTCCTTTGGGTAGTGAAGGGTGGGGTATAAATCCAATCTCCTCTTCTCTTCTTCTTCTACAGCCAGTTGGTGTAGTGGTCAGGAGTGCAGACTCTAATCTGGGAGAACTGGGTTTGATTCTCCACTTCTCCATGTGCAGTTGTTGGTTTGACCTTGGGTCAGTCACAAGTTCTCTCAGAGCTGTTCTCTCAGGAGCAGTCCTTGAAAGAGCTCTCTCAGCCCCACCTACCTCACAGGGTGTCTGTTGTGGGGAGGGGAAGGGAAAGGAGATTGTAAGCCGTTCTGAGACTCCTTTGGGTAGTTAAGGGCGGGGTATAAAAACCAACTCTTCTTCTTCCCAGTGGGGATCCAAAGCTGCTTACGTCGTTCTTCTCTCTTCCATTTCATCCTTACAACCACCCTGCAGGGTAGGTGAGGCTGAGAGCAGGTGACTGGCCCAAGGCCACCCAGCGGGCTTCCATGGCATGAGCAGGGATTCAAACCTGGGTCTCCCAGACCCTAGTTTCTCTAAAAAGGACACTGCAAGTGGTGTACTGGTACATACACCATACCACACTGGGTAGAAAGGGAATGTATATTACGCTGAAACAAGACAGACGTCTTATTAAAAGAACAACAGACACCCTGTGAGGTAAAAGAAGAAGAGATTGGATTTATACCCCCGCCCTTAACTACCCAAAGGTGTCTCAGAGCGGCTCACAAACTCCTTTCCCTTCCCCTCCCCACAACAGACACCCTGTGAGGTAGGTGGGGCTGAGAGAGCTCTGACAGAAACTGCTCTTTTTCAAGGACAGCTCTTATCAGAACTATGGCTTGCCCAAGGTCATCCAGCCAGGTGCAAGTGGAGAAGGAGGATGTTGGATTTATACCCCGCCCTTCACTACCCAAAGGAGTCTCAGAGCAGCTTACAAACTCCTTTCCCTCCCCCTCCCCACAACAGACATTCTGTGAGGTAGGTGGGGCTGAGAGAGCTCTGACAGAAACTGCCCTTTTTCGAGAACAGCTCTGACAGAACTATGGCTTGCCCAAGGTCATCCAGCCAGGTGCAAGTGGAGGGGTGGGGAATCAGACCAGGTTCTCCCAGATTAGAGTCCACGCACTTAACCACGACACCAAACTGGCTTGTCTCCCCCACAGAGTTCTTGTATGGGGACGAATGAACTTGTCACTCTACAGCACTTTGTACACCAAGTGCTGGATGAAGTCACCCTTTGTTCATAAAAGTTTCTTCATCTGGTCTTTCCCTCCCTGAAACGTACTTTCTCCCCAAGGGGCAGGAGGCCATACAGTGCACAAGATCCCAGGCTAGCCCGATCACATCAGATCTGGGAAGCTAAGCAGGGTCGGCCTCGGTTACTACATGGATGGGAGATCCCTCCAAGGAAGTCCAGGGTTGCTACGCAGAGGCAGGCAATGGCAAACTACCTCTGAATGTCTCTCTTTTTATCTTTAAAAATGTATTAGAGTTATAAAAAAGATAGAAAAAAAGAGTTACAGAATACACGTAAAATGCACTGCCGTACAAAATCGCAATCTGCCATCTCTCTTGAACGTAGAGAACCACCACCTCTGAATGTCTCTTGCCTCGAAAACCCTATGGGGTCGCCATAAGTCGGCTGTGACTTGACGGCAATTTCCACCGCCACGTTGAGCAACCAGTACAATTTCGCCCTGACCTGGATAGCACAGGCTAGCCCAATCTCATCAGATCTCAGAAACTAATCAAATTGCGGAGTCGGTTGTTACAAAAATGCAACTAATGTGCGCTACTTCTGCAAATCCAGGGGTGAGTTTGCCCCTGTATGTAACACAGCTGCAGGACAAATCATGGAACCACAGAGTTGGAAGGGGCCATACAGACTATCTAGTCCAACCCCCTGCCCAATGCAGGACCAGCCTAAAGCATCTCTGACAACCAGTGCAGGACCAGCCTAAAGCATCTCTGACAACCAATGCAGGACCAGCCTAGAGCATCTCTGACAACCAATGCAGGACCAGCCTAGAGCATCTCTGACAACCAATGCAGGACCAGCCTAGAGCATCTCTGACAACCAATGCAGGACCAGCCTAAAGCATCTCTGACAACCAATGCAGGACCAGCCTAAAGCATCTCTGACAACCAATGCAGGACCAGCCTAAAGCATCTCTGACAACCAAGGCAGGACCAGCCTAAAGCATCTCTGACAATTGATACATCTCCTCTTATGGTTCCGCAGGGCCTGCGAGACGGAGCTCTTCCACCAGGCCTTAGGTTAAGGAGCCGCACCTAACAACTAAGACCCTCTGCCCAATGCCACCATCGACGGCAAGTGCTTCGCCAAATTGTAATAACAACCACTGACTGTATTTTTAGTGTGCCTGCTGCTTTTAATACCTCGCCATCGCCGTGTAAGCTTAACTAGCACTTTAAGTCTTGTTTTTAGGGTTGTGTTTATAACTGTTGTTTTATCTGTCGGATTTCATGTAAGCCGCCCTGAGCCTGCCCTGGTGGGGAGGGCGGGGTAGAAATCAAATACATAAACAAACAAACAAATTGCAGGAGGAGACACCCAAGAGAGGAGGAACCAATTCTCTCTCCCCCGGCACTTCTGCCGTGCGCAAAGATACCCCACAGCAGGAGTTCCCAACCTTTCTGACCCTGTAGGCAAATCTGGAATTCTGAAAGGGGATGAACGCCGCCCCCAAAATGGCTGCCGCAGGAGGCGGAGCCAAATTAAAAACGGCCACATCAGGAGACGGAGCCAAACAGAATACCTCTCTCCTCATATGAGAGCCACTTTGGTGTTGTGGTTAAGTGCGTGGACTCTAATCTGGGAGAACCGGGTTTGATTTCCCACCCCTCCACTTGCACCTGGCTGGACGACCTTGGGCAAGCCATGGTTCTGTCAGAGCTGTCCTTGAAAAAGAGCAGTTTCTGTCAAGAGCTCTCTCAGCCCCACCCACCTCACAGGGTGTCTGTTGTGGGGAGGGGAAGGGAGAGGAGTTTGTGAGCCCCTCTGAGACACCTTTGGGTAGTGAAGGGCGGGGTATAAATCCAATCTCTTCTCTTCTTCTTCTTATATCTCCTGCGAAGAAGGACATCCCGAACGGAGACTGAAACCCCACAGACGAAGGAAAGCCCAGGTGCTTGTCACTCCTCCTGATCCTCCAATGGAAAATCTTTCTATCTGAATAAGGGCAGCCAATAACAAGCCCTGCCTTACAACTGGCCCCACCCACTTTCTAAGAAGCTCAGCAGGGGCAAACGGAAAGAATGGTGGGCACCACGTTGGGGAACCTTGCCCTCCAGCATACCCTCATCCCTGGAATCATCGCTTTCTTCATCATCATCATCATCATCATCATCATCATCATCATCTTCATGCTCATCCTCTGTGATCACAGGCATAGATCCAGGTGGGGGGCCATGCTCAATCACAGGCATACTCAGTCTTTTCTTTATCGCTTGCGATGTTTCTGCAAAGGGGATATCAGAATTAAAAGAAATTAACTCAGAATCACAGAATCACAGAGTTGGGGGGGGGGCCCTACAGGCCATCTAGTCCGGCCCCCTGCTCAATGCAGGATCAGCCTAGAGCATCCCTGACAAGGGTTTGTCCAGCCGCTGCTTAAAAACTGCCAAAGAGGGGGAGCTCACCACCTCCAGAGGCAGCCGATTCCATTGCTGAACAACTCTTCCTGCAAAAAAGCTTTTCCTAATATCCAGCCGGTACCTTCCCGCCTTTAATTAGGAGGAGGAGGAGGGGAGGAGGAGGAGATGATTGGATTTATACCTCGCCCTTCACTTGGAGTCTCAGAGTGGTTTACAAACCCCTTTCCCTTCCCCACAACAGACACCCTCTGAGATAGGTGGGGCTGAGGGAGCTCTGACACAAACTGCCCTTTTCAAGAACACCTCTGACAGAACTATGGCTTGCCCAAGGTCATCCAGCAGCTGTGAGTGGAGGAGTGGGGAATCAAACCCGGTTCTCCCAGATTAGAGTCCGCGCACTTAACCACTACACCAAACCCATGATTGCGAGTCCTCTCCTCCGCTGCCAACAGGGGCAGCTCCCTGCCCTCCTCTAAGTGACAGCCCCTCAAATACTTCAGGAGAGCCATCCTGTCCCCCCTCAACCTCCTCTTCTTCAGACTGAACATCCCCAGGTCCCTCAGCCTTTCCTCACAGGGCTTGGTCTCCAGGCCCCCGATCATCCTCGTCGCTCTCCTCTGCACCCGCTCCATTCTGTCCACATCCCTTTTGAAGTGAGGCCTCCAGAACTGCATGTCACGAACGCTCAACCCTCCGGCCAAACGTTTGGGTTCAAAGAACAGATTGCACAGCAGAGTTACAAACTACTTAAGGGAATCTAAAAACCCCTCAAGCCTAGGGCAGTCCGCCACCAGGTCTTTTAATGGTTTCCAGCAGTCCTGGAGTAAGAGACCAAACTTCCAGACTGACTATGGAACTTAAGAAGAAGAAGAAGAAATTGGATTTATACCCCACCTTTCACTACCCAAAGGTGTCTCAGAGCGGTTTACAAACTCCTTTCCCTTCCCATCCCCACAGCAGACACCCTGTGAGGTAGGTGGGGCTGAGAGAGCTCTGACAGAAACGGCTCTTTTTTCAAGAACAGCTCTTATCAGAACTACGGCTTGCCCAAGGCTATCCAGCCAGGTGCAAGTGGAGGAGTGGGGAATCAAACCCGGTTCTCCCAGATTAGAGTCCGCGCACTTAACCACTACACCAAACTGGCTCTCACACCAAACACACAAGGTCAGCCCTGCAGAGTTTAACTACAGACTGGGCTCAGAAACAAAACAGTTACTTTTGGCAGTGGTCAAGACGGAGTCTAGGCAATGGATTAGCCTTTGAGGTTCAAGGAGTACAATACCACGACAGAGTAAAAATATAATTTGTTCGTTAAGGGGACTTTAGACAGCGAAGGGAGGAAAATAATAAACTCTAAGCGTAAGCAGCATAACTAAAACTTACAAGGCCGTTGCAGAGTTACTTTCCTTAGGTTACCGGAGGTGCAGTAATCCAACAAAATGAGAGAGTCCAATCAGCCTATCCAGGCAGAGTCAGGAAGGGATGCCCATAGCTAGGGTTGCTCCGGGACTATTGACCAAGCAAGGCCTCATAGTCCTAGACACCACCATCCTACAGAATGAAACCTTCTTTTATAGAAAAAAGGGGTCCCCGCCAGTGTTCCCTCTAAGCTGAGTTAGTGTGCGCTAGCTCACAGTTTTTTAGCCTCCGGCTCACACATTTTTGTCTTGGCTCAGGACGGATGGCTCCAGAGCAAAGTAATTTAGGCAGTAGCCAAATGGCTCGCTCACAACTTGAATGCCCGTAGCTCACAAAGTAGATTTTTTGCTCACATGACTCTACAGCTTAGAGGGAGCATTGGTCCCCGCCCAGTCTAGGCCGTTGACCAACTCACAGACCAGAGAAGGGATGCAATCTTCTCCCTGTTGCTAGGCTTAATACATCCCATAATACTTTAAAGGCGGTGGAGAAACGAAACCTGTTATGTGGCTGAGCGTCTGTACTCCAACACACAGGTGCTAATAATTCAAACGCTCTGGAATGTGCTTAATTGGGCTGGTTGCTTCCGGGGCAGTTTCAAGCCCTACCAGCCAGCTGAAAACAATCTACCAAGGTCACAGCGCCTCTTCTGATCTCTGTCTCGAGGGGAAGTTCCTCTATGTAGGCCTCATGCAGCCTGAACCAGGATTTTTCACGAAGCCACTAAAATAGGGGGAAATGGCTTTTCGTGACGCTGCATGCAATATTCCAGGTGCGGCCTGGCCGATGCAGTGTGCAATGGGACTATGACTTTCACTTCCGGGTCATCCTGGAGCCCGGTGATGTCCGCACACCCATCGATTTTGCATGACCCTGTCCAACTACCAGCAGCCCGTGTGCTCTGCTGGTACATATTGCTGCTCTTGTGTCCTGCTATTTCTGGTTTCCTTCCAAGTGGGTGAAGAGCAAGCATTTAAATTACCACAACATGCCTTGTAGTATGAATGGGAATATAAAGATTTTTATATATAGGTTTTTTTCTTCTTGATTGTTCGTATTCATATTTCTCTGGTTTTTATAGATTTATTCTTTAAGTAATATTTTATTAGGATGTTAGAAAGGCGTTATATAGAAGGCTTTCCTCTTGTAGGTCTGATATTGTTAGCAGACAACATAATAGGTACAAAGTTCATGATTCTGTAGTTCTTAGGGCAAACCTTTCAATGTCTGGGTCAGATAAGATTTTAGTCTCGTATGAAGAATCCTTGCCCATTATCATTTAGGTTAGGTTAAGTAAACACTTAGTTTGACGTAGATATGTTTCTTTACATCTGGCCAATCAGAGGATTATGACTCAAATTACCACTGTCTTTTGTAACCAATTACACTTTTTGAATATTGTTTTCTTAATGATGTCAGTCCATGTATAAAATATCATGTATTTCCTGAATATGTTCAGAATAGGTTCAAGGAGAAGATGAAGAAGAAAAAGAAGAAAGTTGTCAATTCATGATGAGTTATTTGGTCTAATTGTTTTCCTATTAATTGAAGCATATTTCCTGAATATGCTGAGAAGAAAGTAGTCATTTTTGGATGGACTATTTGGTCCAATTGTTTTTCTGTTAATTGAAATAAAACATAGATCTTCCTCCTCATTTGACTTCATTTTTGACATGGAATCTAATATGTACAACATGCTCTACACATGGTTGCCAGCTCAGGGTTGGGAAATACCTGGAGACTTTGGGGGTGGAGCCTGAGGGGGGGGTTTGGGGACGGTCTTCAATGGGGTATAATGCCATACATTCCATGCTCCAAAGCGTCCATTTTCTCCAGGTGAACTGATCTCTGTCGCCTGGAAATCTGCTGCAATAGTGGGAGATCTCCAGCCGTTACCTGGAGGTGGCAACCTTGCCTATAGACGTAGACCCTGTGAAGATCACCCAGAGGTTTCAGCTGTGGCAAAATGCGATAGGGTTAACAGTGATGCTCCATATATATAATTTCTCCATTATCGTAAGACGTGCGCTGGTTTCTGTGCACCGTTCAAATCCCTGGTTTCAATATTCAAAGTGACATGAAATTGCCTTTGACCAAGTCAACCCATCCATCAAAGTCTAGACCGGCTTCCTTCGACTGGTGGTTGCCTTCCAAGATATTAGGTTGAGATCTTTCCCTGATTGTTCTTTAAAGCCAGTTTGGTGGAGTGGTTAAGTGCGCGGATTCTAATCTGGGAGAACCGGGTTTGATTCCCCACTCCTCCACTTGCACCTGCTGATGTGACCTTGGGCAAGCCCTAGTTCTGGCACAGCTGTCCTTGAAAAAGAGCAGTTTGTGTCAGAGTTCTCTCAGCCCCACCCACCTCACAGGGTGTCTGTTGTGGGGAAGGAGTTTGTAAGCCGCTCTGAGACTCCAAGTGAAGGGCGGGGTATAAATCCAATCCTTCTTTTTCTTCTAAATCGGGAGATGCCAAGGATTGAACCTGGGACCTTGCCCACACAAAGTTGATGCCCTGCCACAGAGCCACAGCCCCATCTGCTGAAAAATCCTGAACCACCCGGGCAATCTCAAGGAGATCTGTCCCCATAAAAACATGTTTATTCTCTTGGTTCCTCCTTGGGCAAGCCATAGTTCTGTCAGAGCTGTCCTTGGAAGGGCAATTCTCTCAGGGTCAGTAACAAGTTAATTCAGAGCTGTTCTCTCAGGAGCAGTCCTCGAAAGAGCTCTCTCAGCCATAGTTCTGAAAAGAGCTGTCCTTGAAAAAGAGCAGTTTCTGTGAATTCTCTCAGGCCCACCTACCTCACAGGGTGTCGGTTGTGGGGAAGGGAAGGAAAAGGAGATTGTAAGCCTCTCTGAGTCTCCAAGTGAAGGGCGGCGTGTAAATCCAATCTCTTCTCCTCCTCCTCCTTCTCTGTAAGCCCCACCTTCTGAGATGAGGCAGGCTGTGACCAGGGACAGGGCCTTTTTGGTTGCTTCCCTGCATCTCTGGAGCTTCTTTGCAATATTTGCTTGGCTTGGTGCCTGACAGGCAACAGCAAAGGCACCAGACAAACACCCTTTCCCCCTATTTATTTTGACTCACAGTACTGGTGAAAGGACAAACAAGAGAGTACTTCCTCATTCAAAGAGTAATTAACTTGTGGAACTCACTGCCACAGGATGTGGAGATGGCCGCTAGTTCAGTTGGCCTGAAAAGGGGATTCGACAAAATCATAAGAACATAAGAACATAAGAGACGCCAATGTTGGATCAGGCCAAAGGCCCATCCAGTCCAACACTCTGTGTCACACAGTGGCCAGAAATACCAGGTGCCATCAGGAGGTCCAGCAGTGGGGCCAGGACATTAGAAGCCCTCCCACTGTTGCCCCCCCCCAAGCACCAAGAAGACAGAGCCCCTATCTATACCTTGTGGCCAACAGCCACTGATGGGACCTCTGCTCCATCA